CTGTTTAATAACACAGAATCAAAGAGTGGCTCAGATTAAGCCCCAGTTTTAAAAATATGGAAAAAAAATCTGTGATTTAGAGCTGAAAACAATTGTATCCCATTGCAAGACCCATCATCTGTCTGGGCTCACTGACCTTGAGCTGGATTAGAAAATCCAGCTTTACAAGGTATGTCCTGCTTTGAAATCCCCTCCTCCCTGGATTGGAATTGGTGATATAAAGAGGAAAGGCACCATGTCTCAGCCCCAAAACCTTGAGCCATTCCCTTTCCCCAAAACTGTCTTCCTTAAAATCCTTACTCCTTATCCCCCTGCCCCCATTGCACAGCAATTCTGCAGAGCAAACCACAAAACACCAGAGGGAGGAGAGAGACTTTTTTGACTTGATATCACTGTAAAGGGAGTACTGACCTACAGGGCAGCTTAAGTGACTTGTCCAGTTTGTGGCCGAGAAGAAGAATGAACCTAGCTCTGCTAAGTCCGAGTCCAGTAGATCATCCGCTCTCCACGAATCAGGGAGAGATGGATTAAATGATTCCTTTCCAACCCAAAAGAATCTGTGATTCTGTCACCCTAAATCTTTAAATAAATACACATCACGTCAAATTTAATACCCACAAATAAAACACATGCACGTCCCATTATCCCTTACATCTGTTATGTACCCATGTCTGTTGCTATAGGATATTATATCTCATTGGCTTAGCCAGTCCCCTTCTTGTTCTGCACTTCCTCACTGGTGACTCTTTATCAGGTTAACCAAGAGATTCGCTGAGCAAGGACTTTGGTGTCTATAGCTGTTCTCAGAGCATTTTTCACATCCTTGTTCCTCAGACTGTAGATCAGCGGGTTTAGCACTGGGATCATTATGGTGTAGAACACAGAGATATATTTGTCTGAATTGGGTGAATACCAGGAGCTGGGGCGGGAGTAGATGAACAGCAAAGTCCCCTCGTAGATGATGACGGACGTCAGGTGGGAGGCGCAGGTGGAGAAGGTTTTGTGTCTGGCTGTCGCGGAGCGGATCCTCAGGACAGAGATGACGATGAAAATGTAGGAGATGAGAATAACGATGACAGAGATGATTTCCACAGAGCTGCCATAGGTGTAGAGCAGGAGCTCATTGAGGGAGGTGTCGGAGCACGAGAGCTTGAGGAGCAGAGGGAGGTCACAGAAGAAGTGATTGATGATGTTCGGGCCACAGAAGGACAGCCTGAAGGCAAAGCATGTGTGTACCAGTGCACTCAGTGTACCCCCTATGTAGGACAGAACCACTAGCAGGACACAGACTCTGGGGGACATGACGACAGTATAGAGCAGTGGATTACAGATGGCCACGTATCGGTCATAGGCCATGGTGGCCAAGATGAAAGACTCTGTATCAGCAAAGGTGCAGAAGAAATAAAACTGCAGCCCACAGCCGGTGTACGAAATGGCCTTGCTCTCCAACAGGAAGTTTGCCAACATCTTAGGGACAATCACGGATGAATAGCAGAGATCGACAAAGGACAAGTTACTGAGGAAGAAGTACATGGGGGTGTGGAGGCGGGGATTAGACCTGATCAACACCATCAGCCCAACATTCCCTAGTAGAATCATACTGTACAGTGCCATGACGTCTACCCCTTTCGGGCACATTTCAGTTAGTGATGTTGTATCCCTTCCGCTCGAGGCTGCGCGAACTGCAGTGATATGCACACACCATTCTCTTTACGCCATGTTGAATATACCATATTCACTCAACACGTTCAAACTTGTGGGTCTTTACCGTGTGTGCAATAAGCACAACTAAACTAGCTTCACTCGAAACTAGCTTCACTGGTCCTGCCATGCGGGCAGGGGACTGGACTCGATGACCTCTCGAGGTCCCTTCCAGTCCTAGAATCTATGAATGCTAGGAAGAGGACAACCTGGATCGACGGTCGGCTGGGGAATCCCAGGAGAATGAATTCCCTCACTGTAGTGTCATTGGCTGCAGGCATCTCCTAGTGAAGGGTCTTGTTTTCCTAAGAAGTGTTCTGTGCCCTCTAGGGGTATGTCTATACTTACCCGCTGGTTCGGCGGCAAGCAATCGATCTTCTGGGATCGTCTTGTCTAGATGCGATAAATCGATCCCGGAAGTGCTCGCCGTCGACGCTGGTAATCCTGCTCCGCGAGAGGAGTAGGCGCAGTCGACGGGGGAGCCTGCCTGCCGCGTGAGGATCCGCGGTAAGTACCTTTAAGTTCGAACTAAGATACTTTGACTTCAGCTATGTTATTCACGTAGCTGAAGTTGCGTATCTTAGTTCGAACTGGGGGCTTAGTGTGGACCAGCCCTAGGAGCTGCTCTGCACCATGCAAAATCAGGTCCCTTTAAATGGTGCAATTGCAGGTCCTGTTCCTGAGGCTAATCAATGGCTGCTGTTCTCCATATTATTGGCCATTGCTGAAAATTTTGGGACTGGTTCTTATTTCCACTAAAGCCACTTTATGCCACCCGATGCACACTTTACACTTTACACTTTAATGAAAATGAGAATCAGGCCCTTTGTCCTTAATGCGTTAAGAATTAAGACATACAGGGGTAGATTCTCTGCTGGTGTGAATAGGTGCAGCTGCATTGACTTCCCAGCCGTGAGGAGGTCAGCACAAAGAGGAGAAGACAGATAAGCCATTTTATTGGGGGCTTGAACTCAGCTGTGTTTGGCTGGAGTACTGAAAGTAATGTTACTTGCATGTAAAGTTTGTTGGTGCTTCTTTTTCTCTCTGACCCACCTTAGTTCAAAGAGCTGTAGCTGAGGTTTGCAAAGCCATCTAGGTAGGGGAATTACTGCTTACCCAAATTCCACCCATCTGGAATGACAGTCAAATGTGCCATCTGAAAAGCCACTCCTCAGCAGGGTTGCAAGGAACTGAGCTAGCTTTCTCCTTCAAATACTCCTGGGCTTTATGAGCAGGCAGCTGCTGTATTATTTCCTTCCTCCTCTCCATCTCCTTTCACAGCTCACCCTGCCAGCTCCTCTCAATGCATCCCAGTGAGGAGGCATAAATAGCCAGTGCTGCTACTCCCTGATCCCAACCCACAACACAAAACAGCTCCAGCAGGTGGCCATAGTGTGTGGGGCCAGACAAAGCAACAGTCAGGGAGAGGAAGATTGGACCATTGAAGGAAGAAAGGGGGAAGGGATAACGGGAAAGGGCCAAACTGGGGGGCAAAGACAGAGAATGAGGAAGGAAAAGAGAGACTGAGAGAAAGCAAGAGGAAGGGAATAATAGAGGGGTACACAGAGTAAAGGATAGCCTTGTGGGTAATGGAAAGGGACTCTAGGTCCTGCTGATTTGCCTTTTGACCTTGAGGGCATCCCATGACATCAGTGTCTCAGGTTGCCCACCTGTAAAGTGGGGATAATGATGCTGACCTACTTTCCAGATGCATGAAAGCCCCTTAAAGACCCTCAGATGGAACTAATAGCATTAGCAGATTTTTATTAGGCACAAAGACACAGGCTGAGACCACAAAATAACACTGTCTCAAGGAGCTCATTAGAACATGCCAGCTCTGGATTTAGACACTGGTGCTGAGACTTGAGACGCTGCCTAAGTCACTTGGAAATCCAATGCAATTACATTTAGAATATTTAATGGGGGCGTAATATTTCCCAAACAAAAGAGCAAACCGCATACTTGCAGATGGCGTGACTTTTATTATAGATTAACATGCAAAATCCCCCTGAGGTCTGAAAAGCCTAATGTGTCTGGCTTCTTTTGGAAGATCTTCTCTCTTGAATTGACCCATGGCCATGCCCACCAGCAAATAGATAGAATGCTGTGGCAGACACAAAAACATGGTCATGATGACAGAAAAGCTGTTGTGTAGGTGTAACACCAACAGATCCCAGTCCTTGGCAGGCAGGATCGAACCTCTGAAGCTAAATGCCATATGGCCCTTAGCTAAGGCTGTAGAGCAGACTCATTAATGTTTCTCTCTAAGTGGTCTCAGTGCCACTAGATGAGACAGAACACCACACCCAGGAGGTGTGTGGCAGAGTCGTAACTAGCTATTTTTGCGCCCGAGGCAAGAATATAAAATTGCGCCCGCCGCCCAGCCCCCCCAAAACACCCCCCCCAGCGCCACCCGCCCCGTGGAAACAACCCCCGCCCAGCACTGCCCGCCCCATGGAAACAAACCCTCCTTCCCCAGTGCTGCCCCGCCGAAACAGCTGTGGGCCGAAAAGGAAGGTTTGGAGGGGGAGGGGGAGAAACGGCACACATAGGGTGACCAGATCACAGCAGTAAAATCGGACCCCCTCCCTCCCCGCTCGGCCCCACCATCACACCCCTCTTCACCCCCTAGCCCTCCCTGGCCTGCTGCGTCCCTCCTAGTCAGTCCCCCACCCACTACTCACCTCCTTTCACCTCCTCCCTCCCCTGCCAGAAACCCCCATGCCTGCCCCTAGGACCCCTGCTGGCTCACTGCTCACCTCTCTGCCCACCCGCCACTTGCCCACCTGCTTGCCCCCGACTCGCCGCTCGCCCCCTCGCCCCTCCCCA